TCTTGACCTGTACTCACTTGTCCAATGACTGCCGAGAACTGACTTGACCTGGCGCCAGATGCGTCCTCTGTGATCGTTTCGAGTGCTCCTTCGTACTGCTTTGAGCGGGTGGACAGCGTCTCCACCTCCTCGCTCTCTTGGCACTTCTCTTCGGCGTCCAACGTAGTCTCGGGGCGTTCCCGTTGCTCCCTTACTGACGTCTTCCCACCAACTTGGAACGTTCCGTTGCTCCGTTTTCCCAGCTTAGCTTCGCCGAGGAACGTTCCGTTGTTTCCTCAGCGACCACTCTCTCTCGTACGAGCCTCTCGATAGAGCCCTTTATCTCTAGACACTCGTTCTTGGCGTCTGACGCAGTCTCGGGGCGTTCCGTTGCTCCCTTACTGACGTCCTGAACCAACTCAGAACGTGCCCTCTTTTCGTTTTCCCAGTTCAGCGTCGCAGAGGAACGTTCCGTTGTTACCTCAGCGACCACTCCGTCTCGTGCGGGCCTCTCCGTAGAGCCCTCAATCTTCTCGTCTCGTTCTAGCCCAGTCCGTTCCGTCGGACTGCTCTCTCCGCACGTTCCACTCATAGTTTCCACAATTTCCGTCGTTACGCTCGTGCCAGGAACGTCACGTGCGCCTTCATCGCTCATCACACTTCTCCCGAGAGCCCTCTGATGTCCATCCGCCAAGTCCTGTCGCGGTGAACCCTCATCTCTCTTCGTGTCGCCAACCAGGCAAGAGGAAGGAGCGACACTTCCTTCCCCTTCCTCCTGCCCCCTTCATTTTTGGGACGTACCAGCGGGTGAAGTCACGTTCCCAGCGGCCACGCTCTGCATCATTCCTCGCAAAGTATCGAGGCTCGGGCATCTCGCCACCAGGTGACCCGCTAGACCACACAGCAGACATTCCGCTTGGCGTCGCTCTCCGTTCCGGTAATTCCCTTGGGGTCTTGGCCAGTTGCACTCCATCGAGTAGTGTCCAAGTTCGTTACACCGATTGCAACGGCCCTGTCCACGGGGACACGTCTCACGTCCACATTTAACACGACCACAGCGTCCGCAAACCACTTCCCCTTCCGTGGTACGCGTGTCAGGTCCTAGTCGGATGCGAAGCGGTCCGAGCGGTGCGCCAGCCACGTTTACATTCGGAGTTGGAACGCCAGTACTTGGAACGTTCGTAGGAGCCACGGCGCCTTGTGACGTTCCAGGATTCTGCTGCTGTTTCAGCATCAACTGGTTCATTTGTTGAAGCTGCTGGAGCATCTGCGACTGCGTGGACGTCACCGCGTTCACGTTCCTCACCGTCGTTCCACTATTAGCAAACTCGTCCTCTTCTTCCACAGGTAGGTGCAGATTCTTGTACAGCAATAAAGCGCACGCTTCCTGGATCGACGCAGCTAGGTTCGCGTTCAAAACGGCACGCATCTGCTTGTTCCTTAACCCATCGAGGAAGAACTCGTAATGCCATACAGAGGTTCCTGAATAGTTTTAGGTTACTCGCCACACCTGAAGAATCTCGTTCGCCCCCACTCTTTCGCCAGAATTTCCCGTTAATTTCTCTCTTGCGCGCCTCTGAATCGCGCTCCACACATGCAGCTCGGCGTCTGAAGATGAAGCGGTTGTGGAATCTCACGCGCAGGGTCTCAAAATCGTTGATCCTCGCATTGTACCACCTCTCCTGACCCAACTTGCCCTTCAGACACTGCTCAAAGGCAGTCAACCGCATTTGGTCGTCCATACCGAGCGTACACTTCTCGAAGGAACGCCAGAACGCGGCCGCCCTTTCGTACGTGGCCGTCTCGGAGTAGAATGGAACGATAACTTTCACTGCGTTCCGCAATTCCGTCGGGATACCGACAATCGGAACGTCCTGCTGAGCACCTCTCCCTGACCCGTGCGAGCCATTGCGGACTCCTTGGTCGTAGTACGGACTCGTCACTTGCCCTTGCGGAGGTACTGCGTTATGTGCGTACCTTCCTCCTTGAGCACCCACGTTCCCTTCTTGTCCTAGCGCTCCTGCTCGTCCCTGGAACGTCGCAACATTCATAGGAGACGTTCTCTGGAACGGCAATCCGTACGTTCCGCTTCTGGGGCTGGCAGGTGTCTGCCGTGCAGACGCAGCAGACCACGCGGGTATCGTTCCAGCAGCAGCCCACCCAGGTGTCGACGTCATTGGCGGTTGGAAGGGAGGGTAGAACGCACTCCGTTGGGGCGTTCCACCACCTCCACCGTTCCACGTGGAACCAGCCATTGGAATTGACACGCCACCATACGAAGGAATAGCAGCCATCGGCATTCGGCTAGGTGTCGAAACCGGCGTTTGATTCCTCATTCCCGGGGTCATAGGTCCATCACTGAAGACGTCATTGGTCGGGTCGGTGTCGGCACGGTACGAGGCACGTGTCCTGTAGCTTGAGGTCTTGGAGACGGCACGGCGTTCCATCCGTCACTCCAGCCCTCTGTAGCAGTTGGGCGAGACCGTCCATGATGAGAGCCTGTAAGGCTGGGTCCGTCGTCGGCGTCCCACTTCCTCTCGTCGGCGTTCTCATCGATTGAACAGGCGTCGCTCCTCGACTTCCACCAGGTACGTACGCTCGCGTAGGTGTTCCAGCAACAACATGTGTAGCCCCTGGGGCTCGTCGGCTTCCTTGTTGGCCCGGTACGTTGTTGTTGGGTTGTCCGTACACTGACGTGACCATGGGCACGTCCCTTCTAGAGTCGTCCATCGGTTGCAAGGAGGGACGAGTCCGATCCAAGGCGAACCCCACTTCGCGGCGACCTCCCGAGTCCATCACCGAAGCGTCCAAGAGCGTACCCGTCGTCGGCCTTGCAGGCGTCGTTCCTTCGCTCGGCGCCGGTTGACGTGCCCACTGCTCAAGGACTGTGTTGGACATCTGTCCACCCTGAGGCGTTCCAGACACAGACTCAACCGTCCTTCTCGTTCCCGGAGACGGAGACGCCACGTCGAACATGTCCTCGCCTTCCACGTGGACCGCTCGTGTCTCGAGTCCTCCCGTCTCTTGATCAGCTCGCTGCGGCGTGCCACGTTCCCTGCCATCTCCCTGGCGTTCCCTTCCTTGAAGTCTCTGCGGCGTGCCGCCGTCAGCAGCTCTCTCAGCGCGCGCTTCCTCTTCCTCCTCGAGGATCTCCACGGGCTCCGTTTCCAACGGAGGAGCCCATCCCCCTACCTCTTCACCGGCTCCAAGTCCCTCGCTGGACCATCCTTGAGCACTCATTCTTTTCCCACCTCTCTCTCCTTCTTCCTTGGCACTCCGTTGCCAAGGCTTCTTCTTACGCTTGTACTCCTTCGAAATTCGGCTAGAAGATACCCTGCTTCTCCACCAAATTGTCGCGGTTTTCCTCTAATCGGGGTCGTGAGTATCTTAGGCCGACGTAGGAGGTAGTAGTATTAGCGACACTACTGTGATAGTAATGTAAAAGTTGATATATTCTTGTGTTC